GGGGGGGGTTACGAAGAAAAGGATGCTTGCTGCTGTTTTTCACTGTCAGATGCATTTTAATTTCTATTCAAAGTTGAATTGCAATTTAAGGTTTAAGGAGAGGTATTACATTATTTCAAGAAACATTTTGAATTGTACTTCCCAATAAGATGGATTTCAGCATTGCGGAGCAAAAGGCCGTGGATGCACCAACGGCTAAGAGTAATGATTTTCCTTCCCTTCCTTTCTTTTGCCCTCCATCCCTCTTTCTTTCTCCTCTTTCCTTCTGCCCTCCCCTCCCTGTCTTTCCTTCTTTCTTCCAGAGATCATTACTTGTGTGATGTGACTTGGGCCACCCGAGAAAGGATTGCTTTGCAGTGGCTCAGGAGGATTCAGAACTATTCTGTCATGGATATCTGCGACTATGATAGACCCAATGACAAATGGAATTGCTTAGTGGTAAGGTTGGATGGGAATGTGTCATTTCTAAAGCTGCATGGGAACATTGCTAAACCGTTTCTAAAGCCACACGGTGCTGAGAGGCCAGAGAAGGGATGAGTGTTTGAGATCAGACAATGGGGGTGGAGACTCTGGTCTTTCTGATCCCAAGCTAGTGGGCAAGTTAGGGTTTGACATCATCTGATGTCTGACAGTGCTTCTCTTTCACCTTCATTCACCAGTCATACGGTTTTCGTTATGACTCCCATGACCGGGCAAGGGGGTGATTAACAGCCCCAAAGATTGAATCTGATCTCAAAATTCAAAAGGCCAAGGAGGACCAGGGACTGCAGGCCAATGACGAATGTCTCCATAGAGAACATGCATGGCATGAGGAGTGACTGGTGACGAGACTGTGAATCAATACCATACGGTGACTATTTTAAAGCAGTAAACAGCTTTAGAACTTAAATTGATAACCACCAATCTGTTTTCAGATCGTGTCAATACTGAAGCAAACCAAGTGTTAATCCAACCTCGATGTGTTGAGGGATTCTGGCCAGGAGACTAGGAGGTCCAGCCGGGCGTGGGGGAGCAGGATGAAAGGCCTTTGGGGAATCTGTGGGTGTGTCTTGGACGCCTAGCTGCCTGAGGAGAGGAGGGAACTGGGAGACTGTTGCCCCTCCCAAGGATACCTCTGCAAGCTGCCTCTCCTGGCAATGGGCCCTGCGCCTACAGATTTTCCCTCCCCGCTCCCATCCTGGTTGGACACAGGGCAGATTCTCCTTTCAGAAAGTCTAGCACCTCAGAGCTACACGCATGCAGTTGTGATGCCTATTATTGAATTCCTATTAAATTGCAAGGAGCTCAGAGGTTTGGCACTGGCCACTCCAAGGGAGAGAGGAAGATGTGGCAGTCGGCTTCTGTAAAGATTTCCAGTCTCCAAGACACTATAGGACAGATCTACTCTGTCGCATAGGGTGCTATGAGTTGGAAGTTAGTTGCAATGGGTGGCATCGTGGTTATGCATTGATCCGCGACCTACAACGTCATCAGTTCAAAACCACTAGCTGCTCCTGTGGGAGAAAGACAGGGCTTTCTCCTTCCATAAAGAATTACAGTGACCCGATGGCAGCGAGTTTTGAGTCTATTATGTGCAAGCACTAGGTATTAAAAAGGAGTCAAATCAGTGACTAAGCCTGTCTACAAAATGATTTTGTTCTTTCAGGGGATGGCTTTATGAAAATAAGTAATAAAACCATTTATTGGACATTTATAGCATGCCAGGCTCAATGAAGATAAGGAGTGTGGTTAAGTGACTTTCTCAGAATTAAAACCAGAAATTCAAGCTTTTTGCTTCTTGCCAATTAAAGCACTGTAACATTCAGGTATTATGCCATGAAAGAGTATAAGCAAGTCACAGAAGCAATGTCAGGCAAGTAAGATGATTAACTCTATTGAGGGGCAAGGGGAGTGGAGTAAGGAAGTGACATTGGAGAAAACAGGAAGTTGTCTGGATAAATGGCACCCTGCTGAGCAGGCAAGGGCAATAAGACTAGACGAGCAGATGCCAGTGTAAGAAGGTGTGGAGGGCAATAGCTTAGGGCTTTCATGGACTGTGGGCCTACATGGCAGGGGTTGATGAGAACTGAGTTTTGAGATACAGACTGAGGCTTGGTTGACATTCTGAGGAGGTTGGACTTACCTTGTAAGAAGTAGGGAGTTTTCCAAAAGTCTAAGCAGTAGAACATTATAATGAAATTAATGACTTAGATAGTTCTACCAGTTGCCAGTTGGGGTCCTGGGTGGGGGTCTAGGCAGGTTGAGGAGCAGACTGGAAGGAGAAGCTAACAGAGTCTCCAATGAGGAGCAGATGGTAATGGACCACGGGAGAACCGAGGGAGTGGACTTAAGTAGCAGGAGAAGACAAGAGAAGCAATGAAGGGCTTCAGAGGTGACTGTGAGAAGACCGAGAGTCTTAGAATGAGTCCTGGGTTTCCAGTGTGAGTGAATTTCAAACTAGCACAGGAATGAAGGAGGAGGGACAAGAAGGTGTGGATGGAGACAACAGGACAATCGTTTTCAGTTGATCAAGTGCCAGTGGAGCTTTCGGGGTAGTGTATAGGCCTGGACGCAGGACAAAGCTGTCAATGGTCTGGTGTGCTTAAACCCCAATATTAACATACGTGAACGGGAATAATGTTTAATTCTTTTGTTGTAAGTACATTTTTGCTTATGTTTCCATAAACTGCAGCTAAAGAATAGAGTTCATCACCTCACTTCTCTCTGAAACTGTCATTGTGTTTTTTCCCTCCTTAGGCACGACAAGTCATCGAAAAGAGCCAAACGGGCTGGGTTGGAAGAGTAAGTGTGTAGCTACTCAAAGCTGTTTAATCTAGAGATGGTCACACCTGGGCCCTCAGCTGCTGGTTGTTAAGGAAGTAGCCCATGACCCATTTCTCTGAATCTTTAAAGGCTACCTGTAGAAAGATCTTTTTCACGCATACTATGTAATGTACTTAGTTGGAAAATATGAAGGGATTAGTGAAACATCAAAAGAAGTACAAATGAAAAAAACACATTCTAGGCAAATTGTTGTATGCAAAGGCAACGGCTGTTGACAGGCATCCTAGATACCGAATGTGCTCATTGACCTTATATTGGAAGCGATGCATCTTCCAGGCAGAAAACACAGCTTCCACCCACACAACGCCTGCACAGACGCCTGAGATGCTGTGGCTACATCCAGCAGAAACTCAGCGGCATCCACATAGCACCGGCTACACAATCCTCTTCGGCAAAAACCCTACTCCTGTGGATTCACACGTGACCAGGCACCCAAATGCAGCATTTTCGCCAAGAAAGGACCGGGACCCTCTGGCTGCCTTGCCCTTTGGACAGAATAGCTAACCGTGTGATGACAAGCTCTAGAAGGAAGAGACTCCCGGCGAAGGAATTCCAGGCCTCACGGCACCTTGTGTGAGAAAGACAGAACTAATTCTTACAATCATTTCTACCAAGCTCCTTTTGAGAGGGGAAAAAGAAAGTGGCAGACAGAACGGTGGCGATTTCTCTGTCTCTGGCGTCCAAGAAGGGAAGCTCCCTGGTCTAGGAGCACAAGCCCTTAGTGCTGGGCTCTCCGCTCCTGGAGCTCTGACATGGCCTTTGCTTGAGGCAGAGGGGAGAGGTTTGCCAACATGAAAAGTGGTTTCCTCCATGGCAAAAGACACGTTACACTTCCTCACGACTCTCTGAAAAAATATATGTTTTTTCCTCTCTGTATTTAACCAGACAGATGCCCCTTTTCACACATTTCCACTCGGCACAACTCCATCCAGGGGAAACAGGGAAATGTAGTAAAAAGATAAGACTGTGAACACAGGTCTAGAGAGGGGATGTGTTTCCGAGCTCTGTAATGAGAACACCGAGTGTACTGCACGCCTCAGCTTGCTCCATAAACGAATTCGCTTTGAATCACTAAATAGAGGAGGGAAGCATCCCGCCCCTCCACCCCCATTTCCTTCCCCAAATGGGAGTTCGATGAGAGAGGAAACCTCGAGGGTGAAGCGAACCGACAATTTTAAAAGACCATCTCCTACCTGCTCTCCAATGGAGCCAGGAAGCTGACATCATAGAGAGACGTACTTAAACAGCAGAACCCATCTTAATGAACTATAAAAAGGGGAGGGGTGTTTTGTTTCCATCTATAGTTCGATATAGTGTGCTTTCATTTAAAAAAATAAATTGTTGAGCATAGTTAACAGAACGAAGAGGCTTGTGATGAAATGGATAGTTATGTCAATGTTTCCTTTTGAAGTGTATGACAGACATTCCCTATGGGATCTGGTCCAGAAATGGTAAAAGACTTCCGTGTGACGTTCAAAAAAGAAATGCATATAAAGAATAGGGGAAGGGAAGCTGGGATCTTCAATGCCTCCCTGTTTAAAAATAAATAAAAAAAGATGGTAATGTGTATCAGAAGATACATTTGTGACTTTTCAGGAATTCACCGCTTCAAGTTGAAAGGCGAATACTAGTTACATAGTCCAAAGCCACAGCGTTACCCTCCACACAGAGAAACGCCCTGGGAAACATTGGTCACGGGTTTGTTTATTGGGGTTTTTTAGGGTCCTGTGGTAGTGTCTCTTTATGTGCATTCCCTTGTTTCAGTCTCACAAAAAGGTCCCATGAGTTAGATGTTGTCTGTTTTGTCCATTTCTCATAAAAGAAGAATTTTCCTTTTCAACGCTCTCATTTCATTTGGCAACTACATGACTGGCGGTTTTCCACAGGGCTTCAAACTTGTGGAAAGCCTAGTTCCTGGTTCCACCCTCCTGACTGAGAATTTACATTTCTACCCTAGGTAATGGGAATCAAAACCCACAGTTTAAAACATGCCCAGGTGGGTTTTGGGGGTGGGGGGTGGGTTCCCCCCCCCCCCTTTCAGATCCTAAGGCGACGCTATGTGTTTGTACTGGGTTAAAATGCAGATTCTAATTGCTTGTATCTGGGACGGAAATGCAAATTCTCGGCAGGGGGTTGAACTGGTTTTAAGCCTGGATTTTAAGTACTGTGTCGGGAAGAGCGAGGTTTCTACGGGCAAGACACTAATTTGAGTTCAGGTGTCTTCATTTTTTATTATTTTCTAGTTTCAGATCCTAAGGCGACGCTATGTGTTTGTACTGGGTTAAAATGCAGATTCTAATTCCTTGTATCTGGGACGGAAATGCAAATTCTCGGCAGGGGGTTGAACTGGTTTTAAGCCTGGATTTTAAGTACTGTGTCGGGAAGGGCTTTCTAAAAGCGAGGTTTCTACGGGCAAGACACTAATTTGAGTTCAGGTGTCTTCATTTTTTATTATTTTCTAGTTTCGGCCATCAGAGCCTCACTTCACGTCCGACGGTACTGTCTTCTACAAGATTATCAGTAACGGTGAGGGCTACATACACATCTGTCGTTTCCGAATAGGTTCTGAGGTGAGTGTCCTACACAGTCAGTTCAAGTTGGTCTCTTTGCCTGAAACAACTCAAAGTGCAGCAGTGGGCTCGGACAGAGCAGTGATGGTGAGGTTAGCGTGGGGCCTGGCAGTGTTCCGTTCGGCCGCAGATGGGGGTCTCTGTGAGTCCGAATGGATCCAATGGCGCCTAAAAACCACAACTTGCAGTGGAAATCATTGGGTGAATTTGATTAATTAGCACAAATAATCATACTAATTCACATACCGCACTGGCCGGTGAGGTGAGACGGGATGGGATGGAGTTAAGAGACTCAGCAAGGTCAAAGTTGTCTGAAGTTTTCTGTAAAGATTCCCCCCTCCCTTCGAGTTGTGTTCATTTTCTCTTTTTTTTACAGTTTTATTGGCACAAAATCCACATATACAATTCAATAGGTCAATCATATCATTACCACAACCAACTTTAGTATATTTTCTTTTTTGGTTAAATTGGTTTTAAAATAAGTTGTGTAAACACCATCAGTTCTAGTGCTCTCTCCCTCCTCCCCCATACCTTGTTTGCTCCCCAACCCCCCTCACCCTCCCTCTCTCTCACCCCCACCCCTACCTCCCCTATAAACCCTTGCATCAGTTCTTATCTGTATGCATCTACAGTGAACCCTCGCCACTTCTGCGGCTTCACTCTATCGCGGTTTTTGCTTAACAGCACCCACTGCCTACACCCGCTCCTTCAGAGGAAAAAGACGGCGACACGCCTGTAGAGTACATCCCTTAAGTCATTTCATAGGCTATTGATTACAGTATTTGTAAAAACTATGTATAATAATACTGTATGTGAAATA